GTTATAATTACTGTAATATTGTGAGTATCCCTCCACAGCTTTCTTCTGCGACGGACAATGCGGTAATATAGTCCTGTGAAGTTGCGGTTAGTAAATTGTCAGGTTAATGTGATGTTGTTACACCTCACAGTCAAGTATCGCTTAATTTGCAGACATATTACCCACTCCTTAATACAACACAGTTATGAATTATATATCACATACATGTGTAGTCATCGTCGTCAAATATTGATCTTCCAATGGGACATGAATGTGTGTGTGTCTGATGCTCTCAGCTGTAACATGCCGGCTGCATGATGGTGGTCTGTAACAAATTCAGTCTAGACCATTTGGACCAGACAATCTGGTGACTGACATTTTCACCAATGATCCATGCTGGTCACTGGGGTACAATGCCACACAATCAACCATGTAGGACCACCCGATCCACTAAATTGCCTCTTACAACTAGCCATAGTTGCTAGGGTCTATTCTAACCAATGTTAGAAAAACTAGTGCCTGGTTCCCATCCGAACCCACAGACTTGAGAAGATACAGGTCCTGACTAAACTCTTCACGCCCTAATTTGAAAATAATCCCAGCATATTGTGACACCTAATCTGACACATAAATTCCATGCATACCAAAAGAACCAATACAAATTGATAACTATGTGCCTGACACGAAATCTAACTGCCTTGAGCAGGTACTATTTTTCGAAAACTAATTCCAACCTAGATTTCTAATAGGGGATTCAACATAGCATTAGTATTATAATGCACTATGCATTCAGCATGGTGCATTCATGATTCAACACCATGCATTCAGCACCATGCACTTAGTATCTTTCCAGCTAACCGACCTCCGACATTGAAAATGCTTATCTCCATTCTACCATGAAAAAACAAAACAAATAGCAAAATGCAAATTCTTTTGCGTAAGCAAATGTATTAATAGAAGAGACATACACTGAATCCACTGTTTTCAATGTTTTTTTAATCTGAATTACTGAATCACTAACAACAGCCTATAAACAATATGGCTCTGTATGTATGTTCAAAGCAGTTTCTATTCATCGGAATACTTCACGCAAACATGCGACAGGTACTTAACGTAAGTACCATAGAAACTTCAAAAACAGGGCATGAGGTGAAGTGAGGTGAGGTGAGGTGAGATGGGATTTAATGTCGTACTTAACAATATTTCGCTCATATGACGACGTGCATGCATGTGTATGTATGGCTGCTTGTACTAGCCCATACTTAAGCTGTTTTTTTAGTGCTAACTCAATGAGATACCATGCTGCAGTTAAGCATGAATAGTTCAATACCCCACTCAGTCACATTATACCGACCAGTCCTTGTATTACCCATTAATGCCGAGCAATAGGCAGGGAACAAGAAGTATCATATTTCAACGTCCTTTGTTATGACAGCCGGGGATGAAACCCGCAACCTTCCCCTCTCAAAACAGGCATGAAGCTGTCACCCCTACAGAAACATTAAGCATGTGCTGTAAAGCTCTGTTCCATCAACTAAATAATCAAGTCTGGATCAGACAATCCAGTGATCAACAGCACGAGCATCGAGCTACGCAGTTGGGATACGATGACATGTGTCAAACAAGCCAGGGTGCCTGGCTACAAGATTCTGTTAGTCGTCTCTCATGACAAACATCTAACCCTGATCTTCACCCGTCATTGGTCTTTGGTGAGATTGTGTTTGATTCTTTGAATTAAATTAATGTGAGTGAGTGAGTTTAGTTCTACGCTGCTTTTAGCAATATTCCAACAAATATCAGGGCGGTGGACACCAGAAATGGGATGCACACATTGTACCCATGTGGGGAATCGTACCCAGGTCGTTGGCGTGAAAAGCGAACGAATTAAATTAATGAATGAATTATTGTGAATCCTGGAAGCACACCCCAGGACAACATTTCTGCATTAGTCATAACAGCAAGTGAGTGAGTTAGCTTTACACCACACTCAGAAATATTCCAGCTATATGGTGGCAGTCTGTAATATATTCGAGTCTGGACCAGACAATCCAGTGATCAACAGAATGAGCATCGATCTACGCAATTGGGATACAATGTCATGTGTCAAGCAAGTCAGCGAGCCTGACCACCCGATCCTGTTAGTTGACTTTTACGACAAGCATGGGTTACTGAAGATCACTTCTAACCCAGATCTTTACGGGTCCATTACAGCAAGAGTTAACAGGGGAGCTAACCTCAAGGAAAGATGAATACATTGGCATTTCGGAAAACCTTGCCAACAAGGGAGCTAACGACACATTTACTATTGCAAAAATATTGCAATAACAAACAATATCCACCACCGATAGTAACAACACTACTGTGATTAGACCAACATCTAGTCTCTGTAATAAACCTGCTTTACAGAAAGAAAGGTTCCTGAAAAATAATCATAAAATGTAATGAACAGGAGCAATGAGACTTTGTTCCTGAAACTGTTGAATGGTAGACTTGCCACATGTTCTAGACTTGCATGGGCTTTCTTGGATATATTTGCTTCAGGGTCTGTACGAGATGACACTGGGATAAATATCTATTTGTTCTTCAGTGCTGATTTTGATACGTCAAATATGGCCACCAAGTCCAAATATGCAAGATATTTAGCGAGGAAAATCCTGACAACCTAACTTTCATAATTCCATGCCCAGTACAACATAAATGAGAAATATAGATAGCTGATAATGTCAAAGTGTGCCATTTTCTTCCTTTTTGCTACTCAAACAAAAGGAAAGTAATTCTAATCTAAGTTGAAATTGCTGTTTTTGTGCCATTTCGTTATAAACATGTGTGACCTCTATTACTATCAAACTGTTATGCACACAACTGAAAAAAACACAAGTGTTTTTAAAACCTTTTTTAGAACAATCCCAGGGCAACAATGATGATACAGTGACAGTTCAATATATCATTACACTCCTATGGTGAAAGGGAGAATTTAGAATTCAGGATGTTTTTTTGAAAGGATCATATGGTTGCATACATTTCTTCTGCAAGGTGATATTTTCATATTAAATAAAAAGATTATTTTTTTCTTTTGATTGTCTGTAGATACTTTACACAACATTGATGTTTTTTATTGACAATTCAATGACAGTGGTATGGGTTTGGAAAACCTAAGGACTGCACCATTTTACCAAATTACTTTTCAAAAATGATATGTATTGCAATACTTTTTCTGGGAACTGATATATTGGGTAAAATATTATATGAAGTTTTGAGATTATCTCAAAGGCTTAAGTAAAGTTTTGAGATTATCTCAAAGGCTTAAGTAAAAATCTACATAGACTTTTATACACAACTTATGTTTCCTTTCATAATAAATTGACAATACATCAATTGCATGAAAAGGATATAGACTCCCTAAAAAAACAACCTAATTTTGAGATTACCCATTATCAGAACCATAACATATTTCAAGGGCCTTAGTTTGTAGAAAATAAGATCTGTTTGTACAATTAGCTTCACTCACTGACAAACACTGTAGCTCCCAATATATCGCAACACGGGACATGTTTGTCAATATATGGCAATACAATCTATTTGCCAATACACAGACCTGGACAGCCCTTCTGCAAACTCATGTAATTTGTTCTTAACATATGAACTGTTAACAGTAAAACAAAAACCTGTCAAAATTCCTTTTCATAAAATACAATAAAACGTCTTGGCAGTGGGGATGGCGTCAGGGTGGGGGTGGATAGTAGAGAGTGCGGACCTCACAGCAATGAACTTCCGCTAACCTCATAGCCCTATCTGGTATTATTGGCAATTCCATAATTCTCATTAGCAGCTGTCCCCTTATGCTACTCAATCAGGCTAACTCACAGTCCAGTGACAGTGATTAGGATGTCCTTAACACAAGACTATAACATTTCATAACAGAGTTCACCATCCTCACTGACAAACAATCTGAACAAAACACTTTTCTCACACAGCTTGGACCATTTAGGCTGTTATTACCAAATGATTCCTCAAACTGATCAATTTCCAGATAAACCACATTACCTATGATGAAACATGTAAATATTATGATGTTGTATCCTTTCATGAGAAGCACTAGAGTTGATGGCTACTATGATTTAGGTGACATATATTTTGGATTCAATTATAAAGCATGCAAAATAGGCAACGACTGTGTTGACAGCTGTTAATTTACCACATCAATCACATCAAAGCAGTAATTTATCTTATTTCTTATTGTACCACTTCAAAACATTCCATTAGCATCCCTAAATTTCATTTGACATAATTTCGCTATCACAAAATAATGAAAAATGATATCAAAGCCAAACCCATTATGCCTCATGAAGCATTGTTTATTTTGGGAAAGATTTTCTCCTGATGAAGCAGAGTACACTAACGATTCCTTGGTTGCTGGTGGCAATCTTTATTTCTTAAGCATGTTAAGTGGCTGTTCCAGTATGGCCTCTCCCCACATAACCTGCATTATTTCACAAATGTAAACATTTGACTGCCATTATTGCGTACAGCCTGCCGAATATTTCGTAAACGATCATCGCTGTATGATAACCTGACTATAGCGTTTAAGATCGCGCGACTGTAACGTTGCGAATGTATTCTAGGTCATATGAAAACACACCGAACTGGTGATAAGTGTTTGGCGAAATCTACAGTACACATAGGAATGTGAGAGAATGTCCGTAACTGCCGCACGCGCGACGGAGCACGAGCAGTTTATGTCATTTTCTCGATTGACAGCTGTCCATCATTGCAACAATTCAGGTGTGTTATGCGCGTTGTGGCTTAATTAACGACACGTGACTGGGACGATGAGTGTAGTAAGGACTGTTTGTGGTTGAAAGGGAGGGATGACCCGGAAGCAAGGGGGTGCGTTCTTGCGAGATCACTGGACCCCCGTTAATAGTCAGGTGTCAACGCGCACTCCGAGCTGCATGGCGAACCGTCTTACGAGGTCGCCTCGCTGATGGGGTCGGGATTACTAATAATGCACTTATACTTACACCACCATGCCATAAGCTCCTTCCCCTATGTAGTTCAGGCTGGTATATCGTGGACCCACTTCAAATATCTGGCCTCGCACAAGTTCACCAGCGGTTTTCCCACCAGATTTCTGCTGTTGTGCCGGGGCTGCCATCTTGAAACTGACGCACAGTGCTTGATCACGTGACTACACATATGTGACGTCATACTCATGCAAGGAAGCCCTCCAAACAAAAGTGATAGATATCAGAGTAGACTACAGTAAAGCGCAATGTGCCGGAGTGTTTATGAAGCGAACTGAGCATAACCTGCTTGACATTACAGAAATAGCAGCTCGGTTTTTTTTGTAAACCGTCAGATATTTCCTCATTAACGACCAACAATGTGTTATTTTGAAGTGTAAGAGATATCACAATCAAGAATTCGATATGCACCATAAAACCACCGGCCTTGGAATGTTAAAATGGATGTCCAGATGTAAACAATGGTCTTATTTTCATGTATTTGTTAATTTACGGAATTACATTGTTATATATCTTTTATATGGACCCCAATTTAACATGTTTTCTGTATATGGGTATTGTTTGTTTTTTGTTTGACGCCGCATTCAGCAATATTCAAGGGGTCTGTAAATAATCAAATCTGGGCCAGACAATCCGCTGACTGACGTCATCAGAATCGATCCCCGTAACTTGGATATGATGACATGCACTTGGCTGACCAACCGATCCCGTTCGTCAGGGCAAGCATGGGTTGCTGAGCACATACGTCCTAACCCGGATCTTTACGGGTGCGACCCGTGTAGATCCGGGTTAGAATTGATCTTAAGTAACCCATGCTTGTCATAAGAGGTGACTAACACGATTGGGTGGTCAGGCTCACTGACTTGGTTGGCACATGTAATCGTATCCAATTACGTAGATTGATGCTCATGCTGTTGATCACTGGATTGTCTGGTCCAGTATGATATAATATAGATATCCAGTTAATCCTTAAACAATTGACGATATCGGTAATTTATTAATAAATGTGATAACAGCATGCCATACGTTCACTCGTCACGCCGAACCCCTGGGTTTGATTCCATCAAGGGTACAATGTGTGAAACCCGTTTCTGGTGTCCCCCGCCGTGATGTATAGCTGGAATATTTGTAAACACGGGGTGAAATCCAACTCACTCATGTGTCCGAGACATAAATCGTATACTTTACATTCTATCATCCAATAAATTATCTCATTATGTAGCCTGTTCAGAACCCTGGGCCCCGTTCCTCAAAGCGATCGTAGCGCTACGACAGTCGTAACTCCCATACTTTAACACAGACTTACGACTGTCGTAGCGCTACGATCGCTTTGAGGAACGGGGCCCTGGACATCTGGGCGGTGGGGTAGCCTACTGGTTATGGAGTCCACTCGCCACGCCGAAGGCCCGGGTTCGATTCCCTCAGGGGTTCAATGTGTGAATCTCATTTCTGGTGTCCCCCGCTACGATATTGCTGGATTATTGATAAAAGCGACCTAAACCCCAATCCACTGACTCATTCTTCAACATTCATTGCTGCGTTTGGAAATGACGTCACAATTTCCATATTTGGATTCATATAATGACACCGGACATGTATTTTAACACTGCAGACGTTCGTCTTTACATTGCACGGGATATTGCACTAAATGGTCACAATGTATGAACAGCAGACAAAGTGTGCTCCTGTTGTCAACCTCTTGGTTGCCTGACCTAGATTCGTATGTAGGCCGCAGTAACATGCCTTTGACCATATTTTAATGTAAAATTTGTATCAAGCGATCTTGGATCGAACCTACGACCTTCCGCTCTCCAGTGACGTTCGATCCTCTCGACCACAGATGACGGCGTTGTAAAAGATAATGGGAATATAACTGAGACGAACGTTAATTCCTATCCATCAAAACACGATTTGAGCACAGCGCTTGTCATATTTGGGATTATCTTTCTTAGTAATCCCAAATATAACACTTAACGTTAACGGTTACATTTGAGGACTTTCTAAATGGCATTATGTCTTCGAGGTTTGAGTATAATGTATATATATAATATTTGGGATTAGACTTTCTCAGTAATCCCGACATGGGGAGCTCAGGCTCGCTGATATGGTTGACACATGTCATCGTGTCCCATGCTGTTGATCACTGGATTGGCTGGTCCAGACTCGATTAACTACTTTCAGTGACATTTTTACAACCTTTATCATACCTGCTTGACAAGGATACAAGAATTTATATCGAAACGTCGCATCACCTGAATAAAGAAGTGGTTCATCCATTAAGTTTGCCCCTATCGGATTCGTTTATTTACACACCGCCGCCGGAGTGCGGAAGGTCGCGGGTTCGATCCCCGACCGCGTCATACCAAAAGACGTTAAAATATGGTACTTGTTGGTCCCTGCCTGGCGCTCGGCATTAATGGGTACAACAAGGACTGGTCGGCTCGGAGTCAGTATAATGTGTCTGAGTGGGTATTCATGTTTCACTGCGGCATGGTATCTCAGTGGGCTAGCACTATAAAACCAGCTTCAGTCTGGGCTAGTACAAGCAGCCGCACATACACATACACACGCATGCACATCGTCATATGAGGAAAATATTCTCAAGCACGATGTTAAACCCAATTCCACCACCACCACCACACACCGCCGTCATATAGCTGGAAATTGCTGAGTGCGGCGTTAAACAACAAACAAACAGTAATCCCAAATATATATAACATACAGTGGCGGACCCAGAGGGGGGTTCAGGGGGTTCGAACACACACACACACACACACACCAAACCCCAAACACACACCACACACTCACAATGACTAAAGACCACATTGAAGTTAATGTTTTGCAATGGCAGAGCAAAGGTGGGGTTCAGGGGGTTCGAACCCCTGAACGCCCATCTTTAAAAATTCTGGATCCGCCTATGACATATGTTACACTTAACCACTTTCTCAAAGGGATTGTGTATTCATCATTTGAGCGCACCAAACAAATCCCCGATAACATAGCCGTTACTTGGGCGTGTGCCTACACACAGATGATTAAATTTGTCCTGTTATCGAAGTATTAGGTTGCTTCGACCTTGGACATACAACTCCGGCCATTTGTTGTCGGATGAAGTGACTGTCGTCACAAATACACCGAGAGCGTCGACATCGTTATGATAATTGTAACACGATGTGCATTTCTCTCACCTGTCGCTCTCTTCCGCGATCGATGTTGTGTGAATACAGTCACGAGTGCTGGAACAGATGTGGTAGGTAATTATCTGGTAATGTGGTGTTGAGAGTTGTAGGTCTCATTATTTACATGGGCTGTGGAGTAGCCTAGTGGTTAAAGCGTTCGCTCGTCACGCTGAAGACCCCGGTTCGATTCCTCATATGGGTACAATGCGTGAAGCTCATTTTTGGTGCCCCCGCTGTGACATTGCTGGAATATTGCTGAAAGCGGCGTACAACTAAAACTAGCTCATTATTGAAATTTCAAAGATGCCTCGCGGTTAGAACAATCGGAAAAAAAATACATTATCAGACAATAAAGGTATACTTTTTTGATGACGTAACAATTGAATGACGTTTTCCCGTCACTGCGCCATTCTAGTGTGCCCCCTCGTAATCGAACCATTTTACATTACGTCACAATGTAAGCGACTTCACGATGCATGTCGGTTATCATCGCCTCGTACGGCCTCCTACAGTAAACTACTCCGTTGCATCCCGTTTCTTGGTTTGCAGTTGCTTCACGCAGCTAACATCACTGGTGGAAACAATACGGTTATGTTTTACGATGGTTAAAATGTGTCAATTCGACTCACAAGTTTTCAGCGACACGGTAACGTTCGCAATGTTTACATTCCCACAATGCAATCGTGGAATGTCGCTTGACTACTCAGCTTCATCTAGATGTACTGATCTAAACTTACGTTGGTAGTAGAAATGCGACGTTCATATTGCCCCATATGGTTTACGTTAATGACAGATGTAATTAAAATTATTCAGAGAAGATATTTAATCCAAACGTAAACCGTCATCAAACTGTTATCATTTGTTTTTTCTGGTAACGTTCGTCTTAACGTAGGGGGGCAGACACATCAATAGAACAGCGCGCCAGTTAGCCCGGTGCGAGGATTCTTAATTTAGGTCACCGACACCGTCGTTCGTTTTCTGCCTCGTCGCTCGGTTGTTATTCTCTATATCCACAACAGACGGATATTGCTGTGTTCGAGAATGTATTATGTACTTATGTTAGACTTCGGTCTAACATTCATCTAATTTCCAAACACAGTATGTTTATCTCCATTCTACCATAACCGATTTAACATCGAACTTCCTCGTCCTGCAGAAGACATGCGTAATCCGGCATGGGATGAGAGGCCAATGATTGAACTCGTCTGATAAAGGAGTGGTAGGTTCCGTTCGTATTTTCTTTTAACATTGCAACATAACAAAAATTCTGTCCAAAGAAAACAAACTACTGTTTATTCAATGCAATAATGTAACACCTAAGAGCTTGGTTTTTATAATCAAAACTTCACAAGACAGAAACCAGCCTATTGTTTTGTGTGCCGTATTACTGTACCCCCCTGGCCACAGTATAATGGAATCGTCTGACCTACTTATTTTCTTGGAAGTAGACACTTACGCAACAGTTTGAAATGACGAGACGAGCCAGTGTTTACACTTTGCGAAAGGTTGAAATTCGAAGCGACAGTGGAAAATACTTGACTGACTGTCGAACCTGAACCCTGCAGAATCGAAGAATAGATCCTTTTCTGAACGACCTATAACCTGTAACTCATCAAAGACTGTTGATTTTTTATGACCGGCGAGTGTCGATCATGATTTCACGTACGTGCCTCCACTCCGGCATGCGAGGAAGAGTGACAGTGCAGCTTTGTGTACATGCGACTAACTTGGGATTCCTTGGAACATTGTTCTCATCATTTGGGACTGGATTGTGGCCAAGCCTTTCAAAGTGTACGAACATAGCAGTGACAGCCTTATTGATACCGTCTGATTTTATGGCTTGACCAATCAAATTCGAGCATTTCACGTAGCCATGGTAGAATCAGTTTTTAAGATACCTTGAATTTATGTAGTGATATCGTGAACTGAATTGAAGATGAATTGAATTGAAGATATCTTGAAATGAATGCACAATATCTTGAATCGAAA